GCTACTTTCTCAAAAAAAATCCCATTGATGGTACATTTTCTTTTTTTCTCCCTACCATAAATTAATTAAGTTTAGAATAATAAGAAGAATGTGACAAGATTAGCTTCAGCATTCACATCGATATTTAAATAGCTATGAAAATTTAATTCATCCATTCTTTTTCCCATTATTAGGGGGGGGGAAAAAAAAGAGAATGAATGAATGAAATTTTTCTCTTCGCTTTAAATGTTTTCGATTTTTTTAAATTTAATTCTTTTCTTTCTCAAATTAATTTGCTAATTTTTATTATTTGCAATTGTATTCCATTTCCTTTTGACTAAAAAAAAAGGGAAAAATTTCACGAAAAAAACAAAAATATTTAAATCACAAATATTTCAAATCAATTTTTTTTCCCTTTCTTTTCAATAATTTCAATTAATTTTCTATTTTTTATTACAATATATAATGTAATATGTAATTTCGCATTGAAATTTATTCAAATTTAAAATTATATCTCTTTCCTTCTCTTACTTTATCTTTCCTCTTTTTCCCTTCTCTCTCTCCCTCTCTCTTCCTCTCTTTTGTTCTTTCTTTCTTATACTCATCCTTTTCCTGTTCAAAAATTACAATTATAATCGTACTTGTATCCTAAACTCGTTTCCAATTTCTCCACCATTTGCAAAATCAATTCATTCCCGTTAGAGCCATACCCGTGATATTTCCCACTCTGTCCATCGTCGATACCTTCCTTCTGTTCCATTTCATTTCATCCTGTCTTCATCCTCTATTCATTTCAGCTTCTCTCTATTTTTCATCTTTCATTTTTAAATTACAACAATTTATTTCATATTATAGATTATCAGTTAATTGATTAATTCATTATTAATCAATTAATACCGAAACTCCATATTTTTTAAATTATTTCTAAAATTTTTGCTTAAAAATTGTTGAAATGTCATTTTGTATTATAACCACTAATTAATGGATGAATTATTAAATATTAGAATTATTTCCTGTTTTTGATTATTTTCAAAAATATTTCACTTGAAAATTGCACCAGTTATTTTATATTACAATTGTTAATTAATGAGCAAGTTATTTAACACTGGAATTTTCTCTCGTTTTTAACCATTTTTAGAAATTTTACTTAGAAATTGCAACAATCATTTTAGCAGCCATTGATTAATTAATTAATTAATTGGTGTGGAAGTTTTTTGTTCCGTTTTTACCACCAAATTTAACATTTTGAAATTGCAACAATCATTTTATATGCTAATTAATTAGCTCTTAAATTATTCACGTTTCTGAATAATTTTCGAAGTTTTCCTCTAGATAATGCAATAATCATTTCAGCAGCTATTGGTGAATTAATTAATTAATTGATTAATTGACATGGAGCTTTCACTCTTTGTAATTTTCTTTAAATTTATCGTTTTGAAAAATTCAATAATCATTTTATACGCTATTTAACCTTAAAATATTTCACAATTACATTCAATTGTAACAATCATCTCATGCTATTGCTATATTTGTTAATTTAATTACTTAATACCAATTGAATTGATATAAGTTTTAATGACAAAATATTTTTGTTTTCTTCCTTCCACGCATTTTAACAAGAAAATCATTTTTGAAACATCATTTTTGTCGCCACATTGACGTATTTATATTGCGCATTAATTGATTATTTAATACAACCAGAAAGTCAATAGGAGTCAATAGGAGAAAGAAATAGAAAGCAAATACATATTCATTAACGAATGCTTAATACAATAGTGATAAAATGCAAATATTATAAGCAATGATTATCAGCTCACGAATTAATTCTATTAATAGTACTCATTTTATTAATTAAATATTATTTAGCTTAAGAAAATGTATAATTTATATTGCTAATTGCAACTTTAATTCGAATGAGGAAAACAGAAGCGAATAAAAAAGAATCAAATTTTGTTGAAAAGGAAGGAATAAATTGCTAAATGAATAAAACGATTTCAAGAAAAAAAAAATATAATGGATGGAATATTTTATTTTTAGTTCAAAAAAAATTAATTAACGTAGTCGAAGGTCAAATAATTACATTTATTTGTTTTTTGGCAAATTATCAAAGCAACGATTATTCTGAATAAAATTTCATCATTAAAACTTGTGATTTACATGGTATATAGAAATATAAACATTAAATGGATATATTAATAAGTCGGCCGACAGGTAAGAAAGATTTAGTGATATAAACAGTTATTGATATATTAGATTGTCATTTCAAGAATTTGCTTTGATTGTCATCCGTAGGAATTTACTCTGTTTGTCATTGCAATAGTTTATTCTGATTGTCATCGCAACAATTTATTCTCTAAACCATCATTGATCATCCGCCGTCATCATTGATATTAATATTTTATTATTATTATTATTATTATT